AACTCCTGGGCTCAAGCAAGTCTCCTGCCTCTGCCTCCCAAGTAGCTGGGACCACAGGCGCCCGCCACAACACCCGGCTATTTTTTGGTTGCAGCTGTCATTGTTGTTTGACGGGCCCGGGCTGAATTCGAACTCTCCACCTTAGGTGTATGTGGCTGGCGCCGTAGCCACTTGAGCCCCAGGCGCCGAGCCGACTCAGATTCTTAAAGCTCTTTTGACCAGGGTGGGAAAGAAAGTGGACCTGGCATCTGAAGACCCACTTTTGAGCCCCAGATCCATGACTGCTTATTTATTTATTTATTTATTTTCAGTTTTTTGGCCAGGGCTGGGTTTGAACCCGCCACCTTCGGCCTATGGGGCCGGTGCCTCACCCCTTTGAGCCACAGGAGCCGCCCTCCATGACTGCTTATTATAGGCTGGGATCAGAATGTTTTGGATTTGGATTTTTTTTTTTTTTTTTGAAATTTGCATCTATTTATGCAGCAGACTTGTCCTTGTGTGTTCTTTCGGCACCCACAGCATTGCAGGTTTGGGACCATTTCAGGTTTTGGCTTTGTGCATCAGGGGATTTCAGCCTGTAGGATGCCCTGAACTTTTCTGAGCCTTAGGGTTCTCATCTGTAAAACTGGAGTCATCATAATATCTGGCAAAGTTAGTTAGAGAATTAATTGAAATAGCCTGCAGTGTACCTGGTCGAAAGTGGGCGCTTCATATCGCCCCGATCTCTTCTTACTTCCAGCTGGGTTTATAAAACAAGGCGTCCGGGGTTGATAAGAACCTGCTTTACTTAGAAAGTCTATGGCAGGATGATAGCCTCATTCAGGCTGCTCTTGAACTCCTGAGCTCACCTCTACCAGTGTTTCATAGCTTTTTGTCAGAAGGTTTTCCAAAGTCTTTTATTCCAGAGAAATTTATATGTTCGCCACGTTGAATATTATTCCCAAGTTTATTAGACAGGTATCACTCATTTGCTAGACTTTCTCTGGTGGTTTAGCGTTCTTATATGAAATCACTTAATACAAATAAATACTAAACTTCTTTTAGAAGAAAACCTTATATGAGACAAAGAGATGAGAATATATAAGATAATTGCCCAGGAACGTTTCCTTGAATGGTCTCCTTTCAAGTTCCAGGCTGGGGTTGGAGTTTTGATTCACTTTGAAGGACCAATAATTATTGTTTGTATTTTACTCCAGTTTTTTTTTTTTTTTTTTTGAGACAGAGCCTCAAGCTGTCCCCCTGGGTAGAGTGCCGTGGCAT